CCTACGATCTCTTAGGATCGTAACTAAACTAATAATTGTTGAGAGATAGTTATAAGACTGTAACAATTGCAACGAGAAACACAGTGTCGCCACTCGATCTTCAATAACGAAAGTCCTACGGGGAAGGAATTATCGTCGACCTCTCAAATGAAGATGACTTTAATTCCTGATAGAAATTACAAAGCAGAATTAACGAGATTTGATCTGATCCTGAAATCTCCAATAAAACTCGGGTCACTTTCTATCGACTGTTCTTGTTATCTGCTCGACATATTAAGCACTAAGAAAAACAAAGCAAAGAAAGAATTAAATAACATTTTTGAGTAAAAACAAATTAAAGTTCTGAAAACATTTCTAGCCTGATTATTGCCATAAATTTTATATGAGAGTGGTAAAAATTTATTTAAAAAATCGTTTTTAATTATTTTAAAATATAAATAAATAAGTGATAACATTGTTAAAAAATTTAAAATTATGAAATGACCAACCTGATTAAAATGATATGGAATTACATCTATCCTAAGCCCTAAAAAATAGAATTGTAGCTGGCGGCAAAAATAAAAATTATTTTATTATAATATATGCATATCATACATAATATATACATGTAATGTGTATATTACTCTTTTTATTGTTTTAAAAAATATTTTAATGCTAAATTAAATATAAAATATGGAAGATGCTAATTAAGTTTTCAATTAACATAATCTACCGTTGCAACAAATAATTCATTTTCTTTTTCTCAAACGCAAAGGTGCTGTTTTAGACAGACACACACGTACGTATAAAGAATCTTAGGAAAGTATATTTTTCCATTATACTATCCAATAAGGCGAGGAAGGTTTTAATCCAACTTGAAATTGCAAATCAAGCTCTAAAGAACCGCAAGAAGCTGAGATGAATACTTAAAATATAAATATACGAACAAGTGGATGAAAATTTTTATGTCTCTCTTTTTGTAACGTGATGTTTAATTCGCAGAATCGCACAATCTATAAATGTCTAACAAAACTTTTAAATTTATAATTTTATTTGTGTGATGTCTAATCTTTCAAGAACAATTATATCCTATAGCAGGAGAAACTTATTTATTATTATAAATATTAAATATGATAAAAAAACATTAACGAAATTCTGTTATCTGTTATATAATATAACAAACGATTTAAAAAATAACGGCACATTATCTTCAGAAAGTATTAAGTCCAACAAATCTATCATCGGCTAGTAATCTGTTTTCTTTATATTATTGTTATCATCAGAGTTCAAATCGTAAAACTCGACTACCGCAAGTAGAACAAAGCGGTGTTTTGCGAAGCAGTTGGAAGGAACTCTATCAAGTAACATATCCAATAACAAGGACTCGAGTGGGTGAGCAAACTGCCGACGACCCTTCCACTTAGTTCTATTGATATCTCTCGACGAGAAACTCTCTCCCGTCTCACAGACAGGATCTTGAAAATTTTCGCAGACGCCGTAGGCAACAGACTGATTCCGAGATTACGAGTCTAATTAACGGATTAAGCAACCAGACCACTCTGTTTGTTAGAAATTAACTCCCGATACCTCGACTATACAAATCGAGGTTAATTTATTAAATCGTTGGTAATTCATCGATAAAAACTCAAATGCAAGGAGAAAAGAGCATTCTTAAATTTATAGTTTCAACTTTTGGAAAATATTCTTCATGAGAATCAACTTTCATGAGATAAAATATTAAAATTAAATTTTCAATTATATTTCGCGCAACTACAGTTTTTTCTTTAAATAAATTTCCCTTGAAATTTCACCGAAAAATATTTTTATAAAATGCTTGTCAAATTTTTGATTGATTTTTTTTATCTTAATTTTAATATTCGACGTGTGTGTGTCCATAAAGATGTAGTGCAGAGCAGAATATCAAAAGACAATATTAGACATTTTCCAAGGAAACGAAATATGTTCCGTAAATACGCTAAATGTATGCTCTTCATGATACTTTCTTTTCCGTCGAAAGAAACATTCATACTCAGACATCTGCTATAGATAGATTACATAATTGCGGATTACCCTAAAGAAATAAAAAACATTCGAGCAATTGTGTTGATTTAAAATACCAAGTCAGTAAAAATAATATTTTGAGAAATGATCATATTCCTATATAATTGAAATATCCAGTATTTCTCTTCGTAAAGAAAGCAAAATGTACGGCTTTTACGTTGTCAGAATCAACTTATTATTCAAAATGAAGAAACACATAATTTAGGTTTCTATAAGCTATATGAATATACTTATCAGCTACAATATCATATTATAATTCTGTGTGCATCAGCAGCATTTCTCTAGTTCCGTGAAGTTAACACCCAACTTTGACGAAAACAAATTTTGTTGAGTGTTTCTTATGATTTTTCGTGTAGACGATTGTAGCAATCATCATTTCGTTTGTAGTTGGAAAATGATATAAATATAAAATAATTACAGTCATTTTTTTCTAGTCAGTTACTAACTATTGCATATAGACATATTTGTCGCTAGAACTATATAGTTACTATTACTAAAATTATAACAAAAATAATCATAATTATACTTAGTAATTACAACTAAAAATGTTTCTCTCAGTTTGTCTTTCAGCAATATCTATGTTCTATATACAAGGTTTTCGCCTGCTCATCATCGATCAGAATTGATCTTTGAATGGTCCGTTACTTCGTGTATCCATACTTGGATACAGTAACGTGGAGATGGTACGGTTCCAGGCGATTGATCATTCGCTTGACTAGTTGGGCGCGCTTGATTTCTCCGACGTACACCCCGATGCCGCAGCTTAATGGAGAAACCATCGATTACGGATCACTTGATAAATAAGAATTTCCACGTACTGCACGCCGATCGATGCCCAAGAATCAGTTTTGCAATTACTTCCTTCCATTATTTATACATACAGTTCATTTAGCTTTAGGGTCACCTTACGAAATGGAAAAAACATTTCAAAAATTAAACAATTTTTTTTTCATTCTTAACAGAAACTCGACTTCAGACACGTATTAGTGAATATACTTAAAAAAATTTTTATACAGTAATTATTGCGTTTAGTCAGTTACATTTTTTAGTTTACATTTCGAGCTGACAAAACTGTGAAGGGTAAGCCGGTAAAAGGATACGATACAATTTTTATTCTGGCGTGTTTTTTGCCATTCAGTCGTGAATGACTAAGTATAGAAAGTGATAAAAGTATGATTTTAAGATTTACATAAAAATAGGTGATGATTGTATAGGAATATCTTCTCTGTCGGGATTTCTTCAAACAAATGTAATTTTAAACGAAGTTATCAATGTATTTGCGACCTCGTATCGATTGTGTAAGCTCATTTAGTATTATACGTATACAATATCGAAACTAAAAAAAAATTTATACTCGATATTCCTTGACGTAATCTTGATGGAATAACGTTGGCACTGCAAAATTTCTTAGAACTTGCTTCTCGATTATTCATTATTGAAATCACGTCGGAGCATCTAATTGAGGAGCGTCTTTGATTAAAGATACCGGGACTTCGTGCGGTTCTGATCTGCTCTATCGGCCAACGTTTGACGTAGCGGGCAGCGGACACCACTGCAGATATACATCGAGTTCTTCAGAAGTGAGGCAATCTTCTGACCCTTCAAGAAAACTAGTCGCAAAAACCCTCGGTTACGCATGCAAACTGAATCGATCGCGGAATATCTCACGACTCCGCCGTCAATTTGCGTCACAAGCAAAGCGAAATTATTCTTCTGTCTAAGTTTCTCGCTTTAACGAGACATTTAAGGCAAATCGCCGTATCTGCGTTATCTGAGCGAATTTTGTCCATTATAATTTAATTTTTTACACAATTGATTACGTGAATTGATTGATTACGTATCAATTTAGATTAGGGAATCCTCAATCTGCGTCATATTTAACATTTAATTGGAACATTTCAATTCGTTATATTAATGACGTATGATATTTGCTGTCATATCGAAAACAATTAAAGAAAATATCATCCTATATGATAAAACTAACAATGCAATCCTAACAAAACACGAGAGATAATAGCTTTCTTAGAATTATTGAGTATTTCGATTAATAAATTTTCAATTTGAGAATCGGGGGGCTGAAAGTTACGTTTCATTGGGCTCGTTAAATCCATCTACGCGATTCGCGATGGCTTTCATCTCTGCAGAAAAAAATTGAGAAAGAACGAAAAAAAGGCTCGCGGACATCGGTTTCAAGGAATAAAGCAGGCTTCAAGATCGAAACTTTCGAGCCAAGGTACTCCCCTCGACTTTATTCAAATCTATCGGTGGACTCGACGAGAAGTTTTATCACCGCTCTCCCCCCATTTCTATCGAACTCTCTCAGTGAGAAGTAGCGCCACTCGAACTGTCGTTTGTTTGTCAGCAGTTTGGAAATACATGTTTTTGTCAGCGAAGCATTTCGTGAAATCTTGGCACAAAGGGTCGAAAAACAAATTAAAGATGTAAACAATGGTTTAATAAATATAAATAATAAATAAAAAGCAGTATACAGTCAAACATAAGATATTTGTAGCAAAAGTTACGTATTAAAAAATCTTACGTTAACATTTAAATTCTATAATGATCATAAACGTTTCGGCCGATATTCATCTTTCATCAGTATGTTAAAATGAACATTGTTTGCAGAATTTAAATTGTTAACGTAAAGTTTTTAAATACATAAATTTCACTATAAAAATATCTTGCGTTGTGTAGAATCGAAAAAATTTGAAAAATTAGAGAATCATCAAGTGGTTAGTACAATTTCGAGATAAACGATACTTTACGCACTTAACTTGCACTTCATCTTTTTTCCTCGCCCTTAACTTGAACTTTTTATTTTCTCTGACACATTTTTGGCCTCGCATTCGTTTCAAGCCTTCGATTTGAGAACCGTTGCGGTACCGTGCTCTGTCGCATCTGTTATGCATAATATAGGATGCCACATGCTTATTCTCACCGTGAATCAAGAGTCTACTTACTCTGGAGCAGGATTTCTCCAGCGTTGCGTTCCAGCCCGCGCCATCAGGCATCAACCACCCGCGCTGAAAGTAAGAAATGCAACGTTATGCCTTCTGTAATAATCTCGATACGGTAATATATTAAGAATTTTTCAGGCTCGGACGAATTAAATCAAAGTTGAAACATGCCAGTATAAGCCGACACAGGAAATTGGTATGTGTTTTAATAGGAAGAATAATCTAGTATATAATTCACAAACGCGTTTTGATTCTTAGTTCGGATCTTCTTCAGTGTAAAATTTTTCACGAACATTCTATTTCTCTCTTTCATGGAGTGAAATCTTGAAAAAAGAGTGAAAAAATACTATCTTATTAAAAAATGGCAGATTTTCATTTTTTTACCAAACAAATATGTAATTAATCTCGGTATGAAAATAATTAAATATGTAGACAACTGAATCTTAAATTCTTTGGACCTATATTCATAGTTGGTTATTTCAAGACTGCCTTAAGTAATGCCTTGAGATACTAATATGGCTTTGTGATTGTGGTTTGTGGTAGCTTAAGACTATACTTAGAACGATCTTAAATATAAAAATTGTTTATGAATACCGGCCTTGTTTTGGTAGAATATTGCTGTTAAAATAAAAGAAAATTATTTTTATACATGGGACTGCAATAATCGAATTTCTTATCAAAATAAATCTGAATTCGCTTTTTAAGACATGCTCATTACGAATCTATTAATTAGATGAAAAAATTAATAACGGCAAATTTAAAATAGCCGATCTAAAATGTTTGTGCCGGAATAAAGTCGTATATTTTAATACGTACTCATGTGATTTTGTTACGACAGTATAAAAATATTATTTTTAATCTTAAATTAATAAAATTATAATAATAAAAATAAATTAATATAATAATATAATACAATAATATATTTAATATTTTATATATTTTACAAAATACTCTTGTGAAATTAGGAAATTCTTATGCAATAATAGTATAATATTTTGTGACACTAACGATAACTAACTGATAGTTTATCCAGCACGACATTAAAAGCATGAATTGCTTTCATTAATGATATGCTGGAATTCTGAACAACCGTGTATGAGCGTGGCAGTATGAGTAATAAATGTAGTGGTATCTCCATAATTTGTATTCAGCGCGAGCGGTAGCAGTAATAATTGTAATTTTACAGTTACGAGTTCATAAATTATGTACATCACGTTATACAATTCTCGGTATTCTCTCATTAGATATATACATATGATATAAAAAATTTCAAGAATATTGAAGAAAAAATTAAATTAGATCAAGAAATTAACATTGTTGATATCTTTTGCTCCAATTTCGCACAATAAAAATTCCGAAGTCAAAATTTAGATTCTTGATTAAATTTTTTATTTTACAATATAATAACTAAGATATCAAAATATATTTAATTATAATGACACAGTTTGCTCATATTTTGACCCTAATAGTTAATGTCACAAATTTTTTTCTGTTTTTACAAATCATTATTGAAGCTTTACTTGCTATCTGGAATATAGATTCTATTCACAAATTATTATTATATAATACATATATTATATAATACATATATGTAGATTCCATCCACAAATTATCATTATATGATAAAAATGTATAATAATATTAAAAAAAAAAAAGATACAATTAAATCACAAATTTAATTCATTAAAAATTAGTTTATATGAATAAGTTAAAATACACCAATTATAATAAAAACATTTATTAACAGTAATAATAAATGCTTATTATGAGAAAGTAATTATGTTAAAATTATATACTGTATTATTTTTACATATCGATCAAACATCTGCTCTCTGTTATTTTAGTGATAGATTAATAGAGAGTCTATATATAATATAGATAATATCATAAAAGCTTGGTTTTCTGTACTAATTACGTTCATCGATTGTCTACACTCCGCACAATTTCAGCGGCCAACATTATTATTCTATGTATTATAAATTTATATGATCAAAAGTACAGTTTCAAAGATGCATTATCAGTCCATTAACGTGAGATAACGGCATTAGAGTCAATTCTATCGCGATAATAATCGCGTTGCATTGCACCTTATATTGAGGCATTAATATTCGATATTGACCGAGAATTCCACGTAATCTCACATCGCGGGACACACATTGCTTGCAATAATGTCACAGCGCGATAATAAATATTGCTGCAAGTTACATAGGAAGACGGATAAAAGCCGTAACGCGTGATGAAGGAAGGAAGCATTCCGACGGAACATATAAATCGAGCGGTGTGGCGTGTTTGTTATGTGTACATTATACATATACGAACTTAACGTACCGAGAGAGATCTTCGGTGTACCATCGGAGAAAAGCCAAAACTTGCCCATCGTTCGGGCAACTAACCCTCAAGAATTCATCGTTATCGGATCGTCTGCGCCGCGGTTGGCGTCGCCGCCACCACCGACGCGACGGCCGATCGTTCGCGGGACTGTTGGCAGTTAAGTTCTCGGGGTATAGGCGTTTACTTTATTACGGTTATAAATATCCTTTAATCTGCATCGACGTATTTCGGCAAATTTGTGCAATGCATTTCGAGCTATGAAATGCGGCTTCGATACCGTGAAAAGGAATTTGAACACGAAATGAAGACAAAAGAGGAAGAATAATCTCCATTATTTGCAGTAATTTTCAATATCTTCTCGTAATTTTTTAAACTTACGTGGTTTAATAAAGAAAAATAAAATCGAAGATTCAAAATAATTTTAATATGCCGAAAACAAATGTAATAAAATGAAGAAAACAAAGAGAAATGTCGCTATAATTAAAATTCTCATATGAATAATTTATTAGATTCGATGTGTTTACACAATTCAAATTTTCAATATTTAAAATTTTAATATTCTAATGAATAATATCAGACCGAAATAAGTCTCCGCTGTTGCATTTCAAAAAAGAAATCGATACACCGCATTACGATAATCCTCAATGTTGTACATAAAAAAAATTAATGACTTTCCATCTTTATAATCTTTGAGGCGCCTCATTTGACGGCACCTATGACAGTCTGGATACTTCAGCTGAGGATAACCCCACTGGAGTTTATATTATGTAAGTAGTGTAGTTGTAAAGTAACTTTAGCTAGCTCATGCATATCTCAGCGAGAAGTGGGTGCTACTCCAGTCCGGCTTTTCCCCGGTTGAATCCCTTTCGACCATGCTTCCGCGAGAACCATCCCTGCCTTTTAAGGGATGCTGCTTTCCAACGCTAAACATGTCATGCAAATAGTTTTTAGACTTGTAACGAAAATTGCATCGGTTGTAGACGCGTATGTAATGCAAAATTCAGAAAGTATGGTAGAACGCAAAAAACATAATTTACCAAAGCTAAATACAATTTTAACTTTACTAATTTTACGATTGCGTGTGTAATTGACATGGTTTTTTATATTTTATAAACAACTTTGCAATATGGCTATTGTCGTTTGGAGAAAAAATCAACATTCGTAGATATAACGATATTAATTATAAATATTCGCTGATATATCAATTTAAAAATGACGCAAATTGAGAAAATGGTATAAGTGTTAATGACCCTCTTTAGTCTTAATCAAATTTATTTAAGCTAACCTTTGAGCTAGTAAATATAAAATTAGATCTTTACAATGACGATGGTATTTTGCAAGTATGGCCGTCAATGAATTTTGATCCAGGTGATTGAAGAGACCGAAGGGATTCTATAAAGCATCTCATACGCTCGATGGAATCTGGGTCAGATATTTACAATTTAAATGGTTTCTTTCAAATTCAAAGCATGGGGATTATTAAAGCTGATCGACCCTTTGAACTTTTACCAATATCTAAAATTTTTTGCTACGCTTCCCAGAGGTAATGCAATCCTTTCATATAAGTAATTCGCAATACAGTGTATAAATACTATTCGTTAACATCGAGTTGTTGAACAATTTTTATAATAGCATTTGTTAAATTTTCAAATTATAAATATATAACAAGTTTAACTTGAGATTATTTCGAAAGTTAGATTTATGTATATCTACGATCCATCGTAATTAATTAATCTACATATTATACTGTCAGTAGAAGAGCAATATCAATCGCTATTTTTCTTCATTTTTTTAACATTCGATGACTAAAACGAAACTTTCTTACATGTTTCTTCCTTTTCTTACGGGAATCGCAATATCGCGATTATCGGTATATCGCAACTTTTAAACTAGTAAGTGCCTGCGGATGTCAAGCGACTTCGGCCAAATATATACACGAACACGAATGAGGATGTACTTCCGATGTACGCACACATACACAAATTCACGAATATAGCCGTCGACACAATGCGACAGCAGGATTGGCTAGTTATGAACATTTTTTGCGGACGCAAGCAGAGCGAGACTGGCTACAGAGTATGGACCCGCAGCTTCAGCAGTATTACGGGTCTTGCACTTCGAAACGTGTATAGGGGCGCGTTCTCTCGTCCCCTTTTCGTCCTCCGTTTCTCTGCATCCAACGGCGCCACCATTCCCCAACCAACTATGCACCGTCACCCCCTTCGCCCTTTTTAGTCTTTTTAGCCTCGTCCACGCTCTTTTCTATTCAAGAGACGTGATTGCAAACTGCATATTTTATCAGACCAGTCTCCGATTGTGTACCTATCCATCCAGTCAGCTATATATCCACCCATCCATGATATTATAGATCCGTCTGTTCGTTGCCAACTATGATCTAATCTTGCACTTTCTACGACGGTGTCAAGACTTCGAGCCACATGGCATACAAAGAAAGGCTTAAACAGTAAAACGAAAGTAGTAAGCAAATTGGCCAATCACTGTTAAGACCATAAGGGCGTGTAATGTAAACAGTAGCAAACCCAACATGATTACTGTATAAGTTTTTTGTTATAAATACATAAGAGAGAATATTGTTAATTTTTATTTATGTATTTTTAGAATTACATTTTTCGAAACAAAGGACTTATTTTCGAGACTATTCGACATTATTTTGACAGTTAAGACTGATTATTCGAAAGTTCGATTTGATGTAATTTCTGCTAAATTTATACGTG